GAAATTCCCTGGTCCTGCTCCCCAGCCCAAAGAGGGGACACTGAGGCCCACGGGGGGCGGGCCCCTCCTCATCAGCGTCTCCACACAGACAGCATGGCCGAGCCCTTGAAGGAGGAAGACGGCGAGGACGGCTCTGGGGAGCCCCCAGGGCCCGTAAAGACAGAAGCTGCCCACACCGCTGCCTCTGTAGCGGCCAAGAACCTGGCCCTGCTTAAAGCCCGCTCCTTCGATGTGACCTTTGACGTGGGTGACGAGTACGAGATCATTGAGACCATAGGCAACGGGGCCTACGGGGTGGTGTCCTCTGCTCGCCGCCGCCTCACCGGTGAGCTTCTTATATCATCAGCTGTCTCTTACAGATGTGGAAACTGGTTCCCAGCGGGAGTGGGAAACCTGCCCTGTCTCAGCCAGCCAGGAAGTTAAGCTGGGTGTGAATTCCTGCTCGGTTCAGCACATACTGACTAGGTGCCCTCTGCATGCCAGGCTCCGTGTTAGGCACAGTTCTCTGAAACTCTGGCCTGGTGGTTTTGCCATCCCATCAGCCTCCGTGCTCCTTAGAAAAATGATAGTCCTCATTACACCAGAATGAAGAACCTGTCCTTGGTGTCTAAAAGAGAAATGTATTCTGGAGCCAGAAACCGGCACACGGAATACGTGGTGAAATGGTTGATGTCTGAGATGGAGAGAGAGTGTAGGGAGGTAGAATGAGCACAGGCATCAGAGTCTAGACTCTGCCACTAACTAGCTGCGCAACCTCCAACAAGTTATGGAGCCAGGTTTCCTCATTTTTAATTTTGAGGTATTAGTACCTGCCTCATGGGGTAGTTGTGAAGGTAAAATTTGATACTATATGTAAATGTGCTTAGCACAGGGCTTGACACATAATAGGTACCCAGTATGTGGTAGCTTTTGTTACTTGCATTCTAGAAGGAAGGTGTTGAAAGGGGCTGGGTGACTCTGCGGCTACTCCAAAGTACCTCTGATATCTGCCTTTTCTCTGCTCCTCAGGCCAGCAGGTGGCCATCAAGAAGATCCCTAATGCTTTTGATGTGGTGACCAATGCCAAGCGGACCCTCAGGGAGCTGAAGATCCTCAAACACTTCAAGCACGACAACATCATTGCCATCAAGGACATCCTGAGACCCACCGTGCCCTACGGCGAATTCAAATCTGTGTAAGGAGTGGGATGAGAGAGGGAGGCAGAGCTGGGACATTTTCTGAAGACTGGGACCATATTGCTGAAGTTCTGGAAAGGCAACTGAATCTAATGTGAGGCAGTCTGGGAAAATTCCTACAATTCTAGGACCAGTGCTCCTTTAGGGTGTTGGCAGGGACAATTGTTATTCTTCAGGAAGAGTACAGATGATTTTACAATTTTATAGAATCTTAGTATATAGGATGTCAAATGTGGGACATTCATGCTACCACTGCACCCTCCTGCTTTCATAGCAGACATCACTAGTCAATCATAGAACACTGTCCTACAGACAGTGGACAAGCTTTTATAATTTTCATCATAGTTCTTCAAGTATCCACCACCAAACAATGGAGATAGCCTCCAAATGAACCCCATTGGCCAGCCCTGGTGTAGTCCAACCCTATCTTTTACCTGATGGGGAAACTAGGTCTGGAGAGAAAAGTGATTTAACCAGGTTCATGGAAAAGTCATAGAGAATCTAGAACCTGGTGCTGTTCCTCCAAACCATGCTGTCAGCCCCTACAGGTTCCTGGGTAAGGCCATTACCTGTCTTGAGTCAGGAGGGCATGGTGAGGATGGGGCATGTTTCTAGAGTGTGGTTGGGCCAGCCCACGCCTCTCTTCCCCACTGCTCCCTTCCAGCTATGTGGTCCTGGACCTGATGGAGAGTGACCTGCACCAGATCATCCATTCCTCACAGCCACTCACGCTGGAGCATGTGCGCTATTTCCTGTACCAGTTGCTGCGAGGCCTTAAGTACATGCACTCGGCTCAGGTCATCCACCGTGACCTCAAGCCCTCCAACCTCTTGGTGAATGAGAACTGCGAGCTCAAGATTGGTGACTTTGGTATGGCCCGTGGCCTGTGTACCTCGCCTGCCGAGCACCAGTACTTCATGACCGAGTATGTGGCCACACGCTGGTACCGTGCCCCTGAGCTCATGCTCTCCCTTCATGAGTACACGCAGGCTATCGACCTCTGGTCCGTGGGCTGCATCTTTGGTGAGATGCTGGCCCGGCGCCAGCTCTTCCCAGGCAAAAACTATGTGCACCAACTGCAGCTTATCATGATGGTGCTGGGTACCCCGTCACCAGCTGTGATTCAGGCTGTGGGGGCTGAGAGAGTGCGGGCCTATATCCAGAGCTTGCCACCACGCCAGCCTGTGCCCTGGGAGACAGTGTACCCAGATGCTGACCGTCAGGCCCTCTCGCTGCTGGGCCGCATGCTGCGTTTCGAGCCCAGCGCCCGCATCTCAGCAGCTGCTGCCCTTCGCCACCCCTTCCTGGCCAAGTACCATGATCCTGATGATGAACCTGACTGTGCCCCACCCTTTGACTTTGCATTTGACCGGGAAGCCCTCACCCGGGAGCGCATTAAGGAGGCCATTGTGGCCGAGATTGAAGACTTCCATGCACGGCGCGAGGGTATCCGCCAACAGATCCGCTTCCAGCCTTCCCTGCAGCCTGTGGCTAGTGAGCCTAGCTGTCCAGATGTTGAGATGCCCAGTCCCTGGGCTCCCAGTGGGGACTGTGCCATGGAGTCACCCCCACCAGCCCCACCACCATGCCCTGGCCCTGCACCTGACACCATTGATCTGACCCTGCAGCCACCCCCACCAGCCAGTGAGCCTGCCCCACCAAAGAGAGAGGGCGCCATCTCAGACAACACCAAAGCGGCCCTCAAAGCGGCCTTGCTCAAGTCCTTGAGAAGCCGGCTGAGAGGTGCCTTGCGGACATGTAGGGTGGGCACAGAGGGGACTTGGACTTGGACAAGGCTGTAGGTTCTTAACTTCCCCCTGCCCAACTTCCCTGCAGATGGCCCCAGTGCACCCCTGGAGGCTCCTGAGCCTCGAAAGCCTGTGACAGCCCAGGAGCGCCAGCGGGAGCGGGAGGAGAAGCGGCGGCGTCGGCAAGAGCGAGCCAAGGAGCGGGAGAAGCGGCGGCAGGAGCGGGAGCGCAAGGAGCGGGGGGCTGGGGCCTCTGGGGGCCCCTCCACCGATCCCCTGGCCGGACTGGTGCTTAGTGACAATGACCGCAGCCTGCTGGAGCGCTGGACTCGCATGGCCCAGCCCCCCGCCCCTGCCCCAACACCACCCCCAGCCCAGCCCACCAGTCCTCCACCTGGCCCTGTAGCCCCGCCCACTGGCCCCCCACCACAACCTGCAGACTCCATATCTGGTCCTGCACCCCAGCCTGCCTGCTGCCCACCCCCTGGGCCTGCATCCCATGCCACTGGCCCTCCAGGGCCCATCTCTGTCCCTACTCCACTCCAGACTGCCACCTCCACCAGCCTCCTGGCCCCCCAGCCACTTGTGCCACCCCCTGGGTTGCCTGACCCCAGTGTCCTGCCTTACTTCCCATCTGGCCCACCACCTCCAGACCCCGGGGGTGCCCCTCAACCTTCCACATCGGAGTCACCCGATGTCAACCTGGTGACCCAGCAGCTGTCCAAGTCACAGGTGAGAGAGGCCAAGGGAGTAGGGACACTTGGATCTGGACCCAAGGAAAACAGGTTCAGGAAGTTGTTCTTCTTCCTGAAAACTGAACAGCAGATGGAGCTTCATCTCTCTGAACTTGTCTCCTTGCTCGTAGAAGGAGCACAATGCTGACGAGAAGGTTATTGGGAGACAAATTAAGACACTGCCTGGAAAGTGTTTGGCCTGGAGATGGGTTCCAGCCAGCCCTCAGTGCTTGCCGAGACTGGTGTTAGCACTTATGGGTATCCAGGCGGAGTGGTCAGCAGCACTGGGACAGGGTGCCCTGCAGACCTCAGTCTGTCCTTGCTGGCGCCTGCATTGTAACCTGCTCTTATCCCCACAGGTGGAGGACCCCCTGCCCCCTGTGTTCTCAGGCACGCCAAAGGGCAGTGGGGCTGGCTATGGTGTTGGCTTTGACCTGGAGGAATTCTTAAATCAGTCTTTTGACATGGGTGTGGCTGATGGGCCACAGGATGGGTAAGGTGGCTGGCCCAAGCTCCTGGGGGTCTATGGGCAGGGGTTCCTGGTGCAGGAGGAGTATACCTGTGGGGCGGGTGAGGATATGGCCTAGGCTAATAGTGCCCCCTTCCCCTCTCCCCTTTTCCTGCAGCCAGGCGGACTCAGCCTCACTCTCAGCCTCCCTGCTTGCTGACTGGCTTGAGGGCCATGGCATGAACCCTGCCGACATTGAATCCCTGCAGCGTGAGATCCAGATGGACTCCCCCATGCTGCTGGCTGACCTGCCTGACCTCCAGGAGCCCTGAGGCCCACGGCCTGTGCCTTGCTGCCAGGGCGAACCCAGCTCCAGTGCCCAAGGGAACATTCCTAGGGACTGCAGCCCTGGGCCCGGCAGGTGAGGCTCAGCTTGGATGATTCTGCAGGTTCATCTCAGACCCACCCTTCAGCCTTAAGCAGCCACCTGAGCCACCACAGAGCCATGACAGGATTGGGAGACCCTGACTGCCTCTGGATGATCCTTTTTAGTATTGTATTTTTATTTTTATTATTATTATTATTATGTTATTATTACAGACTTTTTGCCATCAAAATGAGGCCTGTGAAATACAAGTTCCCTTCAGTGCCTGACTTTGGATATAATTTTGGAGTTGCAGGCAGGATACCATCAGTAGGGAAGCAAGGAGGAGACAGAAGCCCACAATTGGGGGCTAAGCAAATACATTTGTGTGCACGAGGCCAAATCACTCAGTTCCTGAAGGTTTATTGAGACCTCCACTCCCAGCCCCACAGAGATTGTCCTCTGCCCCTTCACGTGGCCAAACCTCAGCCCCCCCAGAGGGTTCAGGGGACCTAGTATGCACGCCTGCCTACCTTGGCTGTGGCTGTTTCAGAGTGACGTGCCATAGCGGTGGTGAATACCATCTGGCATTGAGCTTTGGGGGGCTGGGATGGCCAGGTAGGGGAGCTGAGTATGGTAGTGTGGTGGGGCTGGGGGTCCATGGTGCTCACCACAGGGGAGTAGGTTGGTGGGAGGGAGGCCAGGGGTGGAATGTACTCTGAGAACAGCCAGAGGGTGTTCTCAGTGCTGGTGTGGCCTGGCATACACTGTGGGCACTGGTCAGACAGTGCCACTCAGCCTAGCAACACTAGGGTGGCCCCAGAGAGGGGTCCATAGTAAGGAAGCTGGGTAAGGTGGAACACAAGAGCCTGCATCTGGCGGGGGCGGCTCCTGGCTCTCAGCTGTTGGGACAGGACAGAGACAACTCAGTCTCATGGAGCCCAGCCAGGGACACCTATGCCTCAGAAAAGGCCTGGGGAGCTGGTAGCAGCATAGCCTCAGGTGCAGGGGAGCAGGGCCTGGCGTGGAGATGGACATGTGTGATGGGGATCAGCCATGGCTGAGAGCCACAAGGCCCCCTGTGAGAAGCTGATGACCAGGGAGCAGCAGAAACAATCTATCAGGGGCTCTGCGCTGGGGGGTGGCACAGAGGGAGCACTCATGGAGACCTGGGGTGGCCAGTGGGGGAGGAGGGCCTGACGGGGCCAGCCCCTCAGGCCCGGCGGATTTTCATCTCGGTGCGCTTGAGGGAGTAGTAGAAGCCCTTCCACTGGGCCCAATTGATTCCATTGGCATAGGAGAGGTGGGAGCCACCAAGGTAGAAGCCGTTGAGGTTGGCAAAGTGGCAGCTACGGAACCAGAAGGCTCCTGAGGAGAGGGCTGCGCAGTTCTGCACAAACAGGTCTTGGTCTCGGTCAAAGGTGGAGAACTTCTGGCCGCTGTGATAGGACAGGGAGTCACCTGGCAGACAAGAGGAGGGATGGGGCTGCTGAGGCAGGGAGCTGAGCCTGAGCTGGCAGGGAGAGGGTGACAATGACAAATGACACTGTGAGGGACATCACGTGGCAGACTGGTGGGATGGGGCACCCTCCCTGAGCCAGATGTTGGGTAGATGTGCAAGAGAAGATATGCAGGATATGAAGAGAAGCAGCTGCTCCTTCACAGGGTTGCCTAGAGCAGGGCCAGGGCGGCTGCTCCGTGGGGCTGAGGCCCAAGCTGGTTTGAGCTGGTTTGGAGCCAGCTGTGGCCCTTCTAGGCCCAGGAGGGTTGGAGGAAGGGCCTGAAGGGGGGGCAAGGGCTGACTGGAGGGATACCTGCCCCGCCATCCTCGAAGCCTGCCACGTAGAGGGTGTAGCCATCCTCCTCTGCACTGACCGCGTTGGGGGAGATGGAGAAGTCGGCGTACTTGGCATAGGCCGTGTTGTTCTCAAAGTCCTCTAGGTCCACTCGCAGCTCATACTTCTGCTTCAGAGTCAGGAGGTGCATGTTCTGCAGCCCTGGGGAGGAGGGGGAGCTGGTCAGGAAGGACCTGGCCCTGGGCCACCCCTCAGCCCACCTGACCCCGCCTTACCCAGCCAGTACTCCCCATCAGCACGGCCAAAACCCAGCTTGTAGTCGTTCCAGCCCCGGAAGAAACTCACTGAGCCATTGAATCTCTTCTGGAAAACCTAGAGCAGAGAGGACAGGACTGGGCAACCAAGGGTCCAGTGGGCAGGGGTCTCGCCCTGCCCTGCCCAGCTCAGGCATGGGTCCTGTGATGCTGTGGCCAGTTTGTTAAAGGACTGAGTTGGGGAGGGGTGGGGTTGCTAAAACAAGGTGCCCGTTGGCACCAGGACCTCACTGAGCTGCTGCACAGTGCCAGCACCCACAGGGGCTCTTCTCACAGTCCCATTTAGAGGCAGGAAAGGAAAGAGGTTGAGGGAGCAGTCTGGAGTTCAAGTGCCTGTCTGTGTGACTTGGGGCAAGTTACTTCACTGCTCTGCGCTTCACTTCCTTGACTAGAAAAGGCCCCTACTTCCCAGGATTATTGTGAGGGTTACATGCATTAACCTTCCTCGGGCACTTAGAATTAAGTGTTGGGAGCAGCTTAGAAACTGCTGTGGGTATAAATATCCCCATTTAAAAAATGAATAAACTGAGCTGACAGAGGTGAAGCCCAGGGTTACACCGCTGGGACTACAACCAGGTCTGGCTTCTGTCCCCTCATCCACTCACCGTCCACTTCCCGCCCTCGGTGGTCATGTCACAGAAGACGGGCACAGGCACACTGGGGCCCGAGGGGTAGATGAGGTACACGCCATCCTCCTGGTAGCCCTGGGCGTAGATGTCATCGCAGTCCAAAGGCTGCTGAAGGCAAGACTTCTCCAGAGCTGGGGTGGGGTGTGGGGACAGTGAGGGGAGAGGAACTAAGGCATCACCCACACCTCAGCACCCCACGGTTTGCCTCAGTCCGTGGAGGGGGACTCTGTCACAAGAAATAGTGAGATTTCTTTGTTGGGGGGATGTGTGAAGCTCATGTCATCCACTTGCCCCATTTTGTAACGGAGGAAACCGAGTCCTGCAGAGCCAGAGCTCAGCCCTGGACTCAGAACAGCCTGTTGGCCAGCCTGCATCTGTGAGTGGGGGCTGCTTACCATCTCCCCGGATCCCGGAAACTTGCGGGGCACAGGGGGGAATGGAGAGAAGCAGCAGCAGCGGCAGGGCCAGGAGGGCCTGGTGGCAGAAGACAGGGTCAGCGCAGCCCCAGAGACCCCCTGTTCTCTTTGCACTTGCCCGCACCACACACGCACACCCCACCCCTGTCTGGAACCCTTTCATGCCCTTTAGTCCCTCTTTTGCCTCCCAAGTAACCCCACTCTCTGGGACAGGCGCAACACTCTTAGAGGTCAAAGGTTTCACAAGAGAACCCCCTGTACCCTCATAGTCCCCTCTCTGGCAAGGGGCCTCTCTCCACAGAGTAGGCTCAGTCCCCCAATGCCAGGAGTCTCCCCACCCTGTGCCCCGTACCTTCATGCTGTCAGTTCAGCTGAGAGTGGCTGGGTGTCTGCAGCCCCAGACTGCAACCGCCAG